TAAATATCAAAAGCTGAACATTAATTAATTATGCAAATTAGGTAATTATTATGTACTGATATTACCCTGAAAACTATCAGGTCTTTGCAGTGTCCTATGACATCTAGGTACCAAGTTTCATTGAAAGATGATGATTAGTACTTGAGATATCAGTGGAAAACACGAAAATTTACTAATCGATGTGCAACTTAGGTAATTAGTATGCACAGATTTTCACCCAAAACCAATCAAAACCTGGCACTAGCTCAGAGCATCTATGAACCAAGTTTCATCAAAAACCAATGGGTGGATGTTTAGATATCAGTGGAACAGTCATGGAACTGCTAAAAATTAGCTTATTATCATGCAAATTTGGTAATTAATATGCAAGAATTTTCACCCCAAAATAAACAAATCTGTGCATAAGTTCAGAGCAATTATGTACCAAGTTTCATCAAAAACCGATGTATGGTTCTTGAGATATCAGTGGAACAAACAAACACATACAGACACACTAACTGCAAAGACTCTTATTGCGAGCTACGCACATGAGAGTCAAAAATGCACTGAAAATAACAATCCATGTCAACAACATTCATGGCAAATTTCAAAGCAATCTGACTAGCAGTTGTGAAAAAAATAATTTTTAACCATAAATGACACAAATATTCCTAAAAAATTGAGGTTTGGATGTAATGTCATGAAATGAACAAATCTGACAGAGAACCAATCCAGGTATGTGTGGTATGAATAGCAAGGCAATTTAGCTGATGGTTTTGGAGAAGAAGTCGTATGAATGAACAAGCAGCTGAGATAGCCCCGCTGTTAGCAATGCACATTTCAATTAAAGAACTAAAGACATCATTAGAAAATGAACAATATGTATAGTATCAAAGCAATCGGACTTACAGTTTTTAAGAAGAAGTCGAAAATATCACTTTCTACCAAAAATGACAAAAATATTCACCAAAATTAGAGAATTGAAGATATCATCAGGAAATGAACAAATCTGAGAAAGGTCCACATGTAGTACCTATATATGTAATATCAAAGCAATTGGACTTGCGGTTTTCAACAAGAAGTCGAAAATATCATTTTTTACCAAAAATTACAAAAATATTCACCAAAATTAGAGAATTAAAGATATCATCATGAAATGAACAATCTGAGAGAGGTCTACCCAAGGTACATATACACCAAGTATCAAAGCATTCAGGCTTGTAGTTTTCAAGAAGAAGTTGAATAAGTAAAACATTGACACGGACGACGACTGACAATCACTCATACGATAAGCTCCGCTCGACAAAGTCGACAGCGGAGCTAAAAATATTCACCAAAATTAAAGAATTGAAGATATCACAAGATGAACAAATCTGAGAGAGGTCTACCCAAGGTACATATACACCAAGTATCAAAGCATTCAGGCTTGTAGTTTTCAAGTAGAAGTCAAACAAGCAGCCTATCGGCTGAGATAGCTCCTCTGTTAGCAATGCACATTTCAATTAAAGAACTGAAGACATCATTAGAAAATGAACAATATGTATAGTATCAAAGCAATCGGACTTACAGTTTTTAACAAGAAGTCGAAAATATCACTTTCTACCAAAAATGACCAAAATATTCACCAAAATTAGAGAATTGAAGATATCATCACGAAATGAACAAATCTAAGAAAGGTCTACATGTAGTAGTATCTATATAGTAATATCAAAGCAATTGAACTTTTGGTTTTTAACAAGTCGAAAATATCACTTTTTACCAAAAATTACAAAAATATTCACCAAAATTAGAGAATTGAAGATACCATCACAAAATGAACAAATCTGAGAGAGGTCCACATGTAGTATCTATATATGTAATATCAAAGCAATCAGACTATTGGTTTTTTACAAGAAGTCGAAAATATCACTTTTTACCAAAAATTACAAAAATATTCACCAAAATTAGAGAATTGAAGACATCATCACAAAATGAACAAATCTCAGAGAGGTCCACATGTAGTACCTATATATGTAATATCAAAGCAATTGCGGTTTTCAACAAGAAGTCGAAAATATCAATTTTTACCAAAAATGACAAAAATATTCACCAAAATTAGAGAATTGAAGATATCAACATGAAATGAACAAACCTAAGAGAGGTCTACCCAAGGTACATATACACCAAGTATCAAAGCATTCAGGCTTGTAGTTTTCAAGAAGAAGTCGGAAAAGTAAAACATTGACACGGACGACGACGATGACGGACAATCACTCATATGATAAGCTCCGCTCAACAAAGTTGACAGCGGAGCTAAAAAGTAAAACATTGACACGGACGACGGACAATCACTCATATGATAAGCTCTGCTCGACAAAGTCAACAGGGGAGCTAAACAAGCAGCCTGAGATAGCTCTGCTGTTAGCAATGCACATGGCAATTAAAGAACAGAAGATATCATTAGAAAATGAACAAATCTGAGAGAGGTCCACATGTAGTACCTATATGTATAATATATCAAAGCAATTGGACTTGCGGTTTTCAACAAGAAGTCGAAAATATCACTTTTTACCAAAAATTACAAAAATATTCACCGAAATTAGAGAATTAAAGATATCATTACAAAATGAACAAATCTG